AACCCATACAGGCAAAACCACACTCCAGGCAAACATGCTGGGGCCCTCTGGGGTCAGCAACGCACTGCCCAGGACCGTCAGCAAGCAATCATAAGGCCAAGGGAGGGTGGGCACACCCCTACGGCAGGGAATCCCTGTCACATGAGAAGAGGGGGCAGCAGCAAAAGGTAAATAAGGAAGAGACCAGGAAGGACAAGGACCAGGCAGTGCTGGGAGGGGCTTGCAGGAAGGCAGACTCGACCTCCAGGCCGCAGATACCAAACAGCCGGGGCGAGGTCCCTCCTCTGCTAAACGGGGCAGAGGGATCCTCAGATGCTGCTCCTGCCCTCAACCCCTGACAATCTCGTCATCTCATGTCTCAGGCACAGAAGAAATGAGCACCATCATGTGAGTAAAACGTCTGGCATACAGAAGGTGCTCAATACTTGCTTAAGTTTGTATACCTGTTTTCCAATTCAGAGGGCTTGTCTAAGCCTCACAGTTTTCCCTAAGAATAATTCAGCAAAATGGCTATGATCAAAACTCTGCATACAGGAAGCATTTGCCTCTGATTCTATAAAAAGTCCAGCACGGGCCCGTCCCGGTGGCCAAGTGGTTAAGTTCAGCGTCCTCTGCTTTGGATACCAAGTACAGACCTACACCACCCATTAGTGGTCATGCTGTGGCAGCAACCCACATACAAAACAGAGGAAGACTGGCACAGATGTTAGCTCAGGGAGAATCTTCCTCAGCAAAAAAAGAGGAAGATTGGCAACAGACGTTAGTTTAGGGCTAATCTTCCTCAGGGAAAAAAAAAAGTTCAGCAGGATTTGGGACAGACAACTCTTTGGCTAACTCTAAAATTCAAGCGGAAAGGCAAAGGAACTAGAATAGCCAAAACCATTTTGGAAAAGAAGAATAAAGTAGGAGGAGTGACGCTCGATCTTTTCACAGGGGTTTTGTTAGTGCTGTCAAGTGGATTCCGACTCCTAGGGACCCTGTGGACAGCAGAGCAGAACCCTGATGGTCTTTTTGCGCCATCCTCCCACCTTGCAGCGCTTATCAGTGCTCTGCTGCTATGCATTTACGGTTTTCATGGCCACTTTTTCAGAAGTGGGTGGCCAGGTCCTTCCTCCTAGTCTCTCTAGTCTGGAAGCTCCACTGAAATCCGTCGACCATGGGTGACCCTGCTGGTGTTTGAAATACCGGTGGCAGAGCTTTCAGCATCACAGTGACACACAGCCGTGACAGTCCAACACTGACAGACGGGTGGTGTGGTTCCCCAATCAGGAAAGGAGCCCAGGCTGCAGCAGAGAGAGCACATAATGTTGACCACTAGCCACCAGGCCCGGCTTTTTAACAGCGGTATTGAGACATAATTCACATACCATAAAGTTCACCCACATAAAGTGTGCAATTCAATGGGTTTTAGTATATTCATAGAGTTGTGCAACCATCACCACAATTTTAGACCATTTTCATCACCCCAAAAGAAGTCCCAAACTCATTAACAGTCACACCTCCCAACTACCCCAGCCTAGACAACCTAACCTACTTTCTGTGTCTCTGGATTTGCCTATTCTGGATATTTATATGAATAGAATCACACAATATGTATGTTTCCAAGGTTCACTCACGTATCAGTACTTCATTCCTTTTTATAACCGAATACTATTCCATTGTATGGATTATACCAAATTTTATTCACCCATTCATCAGTAAATGTTGCTATGAACATACAAGTTTTTGTGTGGACTTATGTCTCCACTTCTCTTGGGTATATACTTAAGAATGGAATAGTTGGGTCATATGGGAACTCTATGTTTAACCTTTTGAGGAACTGCCAGCCTGTTTTCCACAATAGCTGCACCATTTTCCATTCCCACCAGCAGTGTGTACAGATTCTAATTTCTCCACTTCCTCACTAACAATTGTTATTTTGCCTTTTTAACATAGCCCTCCTAGTGGGTGTGATGTGGTATCTCTTTTTGGTTTTAATTTGCATTTCCTTAATGAATAATTGTGTTGAGCATCTTTTCTTGTGCTTATTGGCCCTTCGTAGATCTTCTTTAGAGAAATATCTATTAAAGTCCTTTACTGAGTTTTCAGTTATTTGTCTCTTTGTTGTTGACTTGTAAGATATTTTTTATATTTTCTAGATATATGATTTGCGAATTCTCTTCTCTCATTCTTGGAACATTATCTAATTTTAAGACTTTACATAAAGCTACTGTAATTGAGACAGTGTGGTTTCAGTGAAGGACAGACACAGGGATCAATGGAACAGAACAGAGAGTTCAGAATTGGACCTGCAAAAATACAGTCAATTCTTTTTTTTTTTTTTTTTGAGGAAGACTAGCCTGAGCTAACATCTGCTGCCAATCCTCCTCTTTTTGCTGAGGAAGACTGGCCCTGAGCTAACATCCGTGCCCATCTTCCTCTAGTTTATATGTGGGATGCCTGCCACAGGACGGCGTGCCAGGCAGTGCCATGTCTGCACCCGGATCCAAACGGGTGAACCCCGGGCCACTGAAGCGGAACGTGTGAACTTAACTGCTGTGCCACCAGGCCGGCCCTGCCAATTTACTTTTTCCAAAGGAGTGTGAGAATGCGATTCAACAGAGGAGGTACAGTCTTTTCAAGAAATGGTGTTGGAATAATTGGATATGCTGGCAAAAAAAATGAAATTGGACCTAAACTTCACATCTTACACAAAAATTATCTCAAAATGGATTATAGATCTAAATGTAAAATATAAACTGAAACTTTTAGAAGAAACCATAGATGAAAATCTTTGTGACCTGGGGTTAGGCAAAGCGTTCTCAGGCATGACACTAAAAACATGAATTAAAAAGAAAAACTTGATAAATATTTTGGACTTCATCAAAATTAAAACTTTTTCTCTACAAATGACACAATTAAGAGGATGAAATGACAAGCTATAAACCAGAAGAAAATATTTGCAAATCGCATATCTGACAAAGGATCGAATCCAGATTATATACGGAGCTCTCAAAACTCCCTAGTAAGAGGGGCTGGCCCCGTGGCCGAGTGGTTAAGTTTGCGCGCTCCGCTGCAGGTGGCCCAGTGTTTCGTTAGTTCGAATCCTGGGCGCAGACATGGCACTGCTCATCAGGCCACGCTGAGGCAGCGTCCCACATGCCACAACTAGAAGGACCCACAACGAAGAATACACAACTATGTACCGGGGGGCTTTGGGGAGAAAAAGGAAAAAAATAAAATCTTTAAACAACAACAACAAAAAAACTCCCTAGTAAGAAAACATCCCAATTTAAAAACGGTCAAAAGACCAAAACAGATATTTCACCAAAGAGGATATATGGTTGGCAAATAAGGATTTGAAAAGATGCTCCACCCCATTGGCCATCAGGGAAATGCAAATTGAAGCCACAATGACATCTCATCACACACCTGTCAGAATGAATAAAATGTAAAAATGCTGGCAAAGACACACAGCAACTAGAATTTTCCTTCATTGCTGATAGGAATGCAAAATGGCACAGCCACGCTGGAAAACAGTTCAGCAGTTTCTCAAAAAGTTAAACATATACTCAGCACATGAACCAACCATCCTGCTCCTAGATATGGTGTTACCCTGGAGGAATGAAAACTTACGTTCACATAAAGACCTGCACAAGAATGTTCATGGCAGCTTATTTGTCATAGCCCCAAACTGGAAAAAAACACACACACACACACACGCAAATGTCTGAGTGGGCGAATGAATGAACATATCATGGAGAAGCACTCAGCAGCAAGAAGGAGCCATCTATGGACACGTGTGACAACATGGATGGGTCTCAGGGGTATGCTGAGTAAATCCTAAAAGATGACAGGCTGTATGATTCCACTTATGTGCTATCCTTGAAAAGCACAAAATTAGGGGCTGGCCCCCTGGCCGAGTGGTTAGGTTCGCGTGCTCCACTTCGGCAGCCCAGGGTCTCGCCAGTTCAGATCCTGGGCGCGGACATGGCACCGCTCATCAAGCCACGCTGAGGCAGCGTCCCACATGCCACAACTAGAAGGACCCAGAACTAAAAATATACAACTATTTAGCAGGGGACTTTGGGGAGAAAAAATAACAATAAAATCTTTTCAAAAAACACACACACAAAATTAGAGGGGCTGTCAGGGTTTTGGGACAGAGGAGGGCGAGATTGCAAAGGGGCAGCTTGGGAGAGCTTTTGGGTGATGGAGCTGCTGTGTGTGGGGGGGGATTGTGGGGGGGAACACAAATCTATACATGTGTCAAAATTCACAGAGCAGTACACTAAAAAAAGTCCATTTTATTGTATGTTAAAATAAAAGGAATATTCCCCCATTATATTAAAATGATGATATGGTGAGCAATACTGCAATCTCTAGTAGCACGTGATCTTAGAAGAATTCTCTTTTGTTGACCTGTCACCTCCTCCAGTTTTTCAGGGGACAGATCCACAGTACATCTTTTCTCAGTGCCGGGTGGGCAAAACCACAGCTGCCTCAGAGGAAACCGGGGAACAGAGAGTCAGAGGGGAAGGGGACCGACATGTGGCCAGGCTGGGCCGGCCACAGGACCCCACTGAGGAGTGGTGCGGGCAGCTCGGTGCCTGTGCCAGCCCAAGGAGGGTGTGTGTTGGGCCCTGTGCCTCTGGCTTCCCCATTTTGTGATTCTGAAGTGGACAAGATGGTGCAGTGCCGGGCTGCAAATGCAGGCGTGACCTCCTGGGCTGGCTGGGCCCCTATCTCTCCTGGACTCTGGTCAGGCTGTGGCCAACGCCCCCTCTAAGGCCCAGCAAGGGTGGCAAGAGTGATAGCCCCTCACCACCAGTCCCACTGGGCCCTGACTGCCCACTGTCACTGGATCCGATAAGAGACCACCACCCTCACGGCCCCCTCCCCTCCTGACCAATGGCCACACTCTGGCCCCCACCCCAGCTCCGTGTATATAAGGGGACCCTGGGGGCTGAGCACCATGGAGGCCAGTCCTGAGGACACCCAGCTCCAGTCCAGCCATCACCATGTCTCTGACCAAGGCTGAGAGGACCATGGTCGTGTCCATATGGGGCAAGATCTCCATGCAGGCGGATGCCGTGGGCACCGAGGCCCTGCAGAGGTGAGTGCCAGACAGCCTGGGACAGGTGACAGTGTCCCAGGTGACACTGGTGTAGGTGACAGCGTGAGTTTAGTGAGGACAGGGGCCAGTGAAGAGGGGGCAATGAGGAAGCGACAGTGTGGAGGGGTAATTGTGGTGGGGAACTGTGAGGACCCGGTTCTGAGGGAGAGATCAGTGAGTATGAGTGTGTTGAGGAGGGGTCCCCGGCATCAGCGATCAGGAAGAGGACGAGGATGGGGACGAAGACGAGGATAGGACTCTGACTCTCACGGGTCTCCACAAACATCTGTTGAATGAAGGAAGGAACAAATACCTGAATGAGGGGGCAGGAGGGTGAGAAAGTGCAACGCCACACTGGAGCCTGGGGCAGCAGGAAAAAACAGCCGTATCGATGTTGTCTTTATTTAAAATTGTAATATTTTGTTTAATGTGAATGTTTTGCATTAATTTTTGTTTTAAAACCCCGCGTTAAAATGTGATTTATCCTGACTCTGGGTTGATGGGCATCCCTTAAGTTTTGCGCCCAGGGCGAGCGCCACACCGACTTCATTGGTCCGGCTCTCGCCCCGCCCCCCCCAAGCTGCGCCCCGCAGCTGCCCCCCAGCTCACGCGCCGCCCCCGCAGGCTCTTCTCCAGCTACCCGCAGACCAAGACCTACTTCCCGCACTTCGACCTGCACGAGGGCTCCCCGCAGCTGCGCGCGCACGGCTCCAAGGTGGCGGCCGCCGTGGGCGACGCGGTCAAGAGCATCGACAACGTGGCGGGCGCGCTGGCCAAGCTGAGCGAGCTGCACGCCTACATCCTGCGCGTGGACCCGGTCAACTTCAAGGTGCGCGCGGGGCGGGGGTCCCGGCGGGGCGCGTGGGGTGCGCGGGGTGCGCGGGGTGCGCAGCGCGCAGGGTCTGGGCCGAAGGTATCCCCCAACCCGGAGACACCCCGCCGCGCCCCGGCCGCGCTCTGAGCCGCCCTCCCGCCCCCCAGTTCCTGTCCCACTGTCTGCTGGTCACGCTGGCCTCGCGCCTCCCCGCCGACTTCACGGCCGACGCCCACGCCGCCTGGGACAAGTTCCTGTCCATCGTGTCCAGCGTCCTGACGGAGAAGTACCGCTGAGCGTACCCCAGACGCCAAGGATAGGCTGCGACCCCTGCGCTGCTGTCGGGGGTCTCCCAATGCCCCTGGCTCCCCTGTGATGCTCCAATAAACGAATCAACGTCCACCTCGCCTCTGTGGTCACTGGGGCCGCGGGAGTTGGGGCGGCATAGGGGTAGGGGGCGGCATAGGGGTAGGGGGCGGCGGGAGGGCTGCGGGGATCCTTCGCACTGACCCCAGGGTCTCTCGGAGGGCAGAGGGCAGCTGCGGGGTGCTGGGGGGCACTCGGGATCCGGGTGGAGCGGCAGAAAGGGCGCCCCTCGGCCTTTACTTCTGCGGCCCACGTGGTACTCTTTCTTCTCCCTCCGGAATTTATACTAGGTCCTAGTTTGTGTCTGATCGCAGCAAGAAAGGAGTATGAAATGTGATCTTTTACTCATTCATTCATCCATTAAACAACATTTATTGGGGTCTCCCCGTGGCGAGTGGTTAAGTTCACACGCTCGGCTTGGGCAGCCCAGGGTTTCTCCCGTTAGGATCCTGGGCGCGGATGTGGCGCCACTCATCAGGCCATGCTGAGGCGGTGTCCCACATGACACAACTAGAAGGACCCACAACTAAAATATACAACTGTGTACTGCGGGGTGGGGTGGGGTGGGGTGGGGGGGAGAAAAAGCAGAAGAAAAAGAAAAAGATTGGCAACAGTTGTTAGCTCAGGGGCCAATCTTTAAAAAAAAATAAATAAATAAAACACTACACTAAAGGTAAAACCTCACTGAGATCCATTTCCCACCTACCTGAGGGCAAAAGTCCAAGACTGACCACATTCTCCTGGCGGCCCCTCCCGACACGGTGGTGGGAGCAGGACATGGACGCACAAAGCAACTGGGGCAGCTTCCTTTGTTAAGGACAGAAAACCTAAGAATCCACGATCAGGCACTGACTGAACAAACCACAAACATGCACACGATGGGAACTGACAAAAGAATGAGGACAACTTCTAATAGTGGCTGTGAAGTGATGGCCAGGATTTATTACGGAAAAAAAGAAAAGAAAAAAGAAATAAGTAGAATGATGTACATATAATATGGTAGCTTCTCCCTAAGAAAAGAGGGGAAATTGAACACACGTGTGTGAATGTACACTGCATGTGTGCATTTGTGCACGTGTGTGAGTTATTATAGCCCTGTGTTTGCACTCATGAGTGTGCATGTGTTCATGTGTGTTTGTTTTTTTAAAAAGAGGAAACCATGCAAGGGTAAACTGGAAAGGACCACAATTGCTGAGGTGAGTGGAGAGGGAGGGGAGGGGCAGCAAGCTCCTCCACGTCTTACTCTCCAGGGGGTTTGAACTTTGCATCAGGTAAATGTTTTACATCATCAAAAATAAAATTAAGAAGAGCAAAGAATGAAAACATCAAAACTGAAGACCAACTTAAATGAACCTGTGTATGGATGGAGTAATATAATCAACAGAAGAAAGAATTGTCCTGAGTGACTTCCAAACACAGTACTTTGTGACCAAAAGAACAGCCAAGAAATTCTAACATCATTCAGTGGTTTGTCGGTCATAACAACACAGATATTGTCATTTCATAACCTTATATTTGGAAACATTTTCAAACTTTCAAAAAATCTGCAAGGATAAGACTAAGATGGAGAAATAGGAGTGGCTGCTAGTGGGTACAGGGCTTTTTGGGGGGGTAATGAAAATATTCTAAAATTGATTGTGGAGATGGTTGCACAATTCTGTGACTATACTAAAAACCATCGAATTGTACACTTTAAGGGGGTGAATTGTATGGTATGTGAATTACATCTCAATAAATCTGTAAAGTGAAATAATAAGACACAACACTCCCAAGCACTCTTCATCAGGATTCCCCAATTGTTAACATTCCACCACATTAGCCTTCACTCACCCTTTCTTTCTGAGCCGTTTGAGAGTAGGCTCCTTTAATATCCTTCCTACCCTGATATCTTGTGTATTTCCTAAAATCAGCAAGAATGCTCACCTGCATTCTCAGAGACCAACCACCAAAATCAGGAGATCAACACTGATCTCATCAACTGATGCCCAGATCTCATCTGTATGTTGTCCTTTCCAGTAAGGTCCTTTGCTGGTCCAGGGTCAAACTTTGCATTTAGTGTCCTTCAGTCTGGCTCCTCAGTCTTTCCTTGCATGATCTTAATAACTCTGAAGGGCACATGCCAGTTATTTTGCAGAATGTGCCTCTGTTTGGGTTTGTCTGATGCTTCCTCAGGATGAGATTGAGTGTACGCATTTTTGGTAGGAACATCACAGAAGTGATGCTGTGTCCACCTCCAGGCGTCTCACAGGGCATAAGACACTGATTTGTCCCTTATAGGTGATGTTTGCTTTGATCGCCTAGTTGAAATCGTGTCTGCTGTGTTTCCCCATTGCGAAGTTAATTAATAAGTATTTTATGCCTTTTCATTGGTAAATAATTAATAAGTATTTTGCAGGGTGATACATTGAGACTATGTAAATACTCTGTTCTTTAGGTAATTTCACCCACGGGTCTTAGCATCTGTTGGTGATTCTTGCCTACATCAATTGTTACAATGATGGTTACCCCATGACAAATCTCCATCACTCTTTCTGTACTTATTAACAGGCATTCTACTGTAAGGAAAAGCTTTTCCTTCTCCATTCTTTAAATTTATATCATATTAACTCATAATTCTCATTTTGTTCAGTGGGTTATAATCTATTGCCAATCATATTTAATTTTGATCCTAAACTGCCCCAGATTTAGACAGTGGAGCCCCTTCAAATTGGCTCCTGTCTCCTTTGACACGTCCCCACCATTCTTTGAGTACATTCTTAATTTCTGCCATAAGAGGTTCCAGGCTCATCTCGTACTTTCCCGGTATCCGCCTGAAATCAGCCATTTCTCCACATAGTTCTGTTTCTTCCTAGTGGAGAATGATATTTGAAAAGCAAAATCTGGGGGCTGGGCGTGCTCATTGCTACCAGAGTAACACAGTTTCCAGTCCCTCTCAGTGGACAGAACGAAGAGATACACTTACATACACACATACCCATAAGTAAATATATACACATAGCTATATCTACATCTATTCTACCCCTATCTAAGTATATTAGAAACCATGACCTCACACCAGTATTTGTAATTACAATCCAATACCACATGGTTTATTCTTGTCTCCTCCCTTCCCATATTGGTGCACCCTTCTGCAATAGTGAAAAATTAGGCTCTCATTGTACTCAAAATATTTACTTATTTGCTCAATTCCCTTTTTAATTACCAATATCTCAATCGAGCCAATTCATGCCAACTGGCACCAGCCAGTCAGCACCAGTAGCTGATATTGTAATTTTGAAACTGTGCCATCTATTCTGTAGGAAAAAAGCAAATAAGTAACAATGTCATTAGTAACCAATATTTTTAGTAAGTGAAAATAGATGCATATATAAAAACAATGAAATTTTTTTATTTGAAAAAGTTTTTTATGACTTAAAAAGTTTTTTTATTAAAAATTATATCAAATTTGAATTGGAAGTATCACTGTAAAGTCATGTTGTAAAAAAATATACTTCCTAGTTCTGTCCACCGTGAGGGTCCTGGGAGAAATGACACCCAACAGCAGCAAGGTGACCTTTAGAAACCAGGATCTGGGTTTCTAAATACCATCCCTCACAAAAGGGAACTCCAGTAAGAATGTAAGTAAGAATAAGAATAATAAACTGAGTAAGAATCTGCCACCATCAACAGCTTACTATAAAAACTGGTAACTAAAGGAAAATAATTAAGCACAAATCCTACCTTTTAGAGCAACTGTCATTCATCCCCAGCTGATGAGGAAACCCTCTTTACAGAAGAATGTCAGCTAATTAATATGGAAGGAATCATAAAATGAGAAAACCATAATTCTATGATCCCCAGTGAAATAACGGAGTCAAGCAAGATCATCAATGATTGCTGAAACTATAGGATGAAGTGTGTTGGGCATAGAATATTTCCATGGTGTCAACATTATTACTCCCAAATTACTAACTAATTGCAAAAGGGGAAAAGATACTTTTGCTATGGAGCTACCTGGTGGTTCCCTCCATAACCAAGCGATCAAGCCTGGCATCACCAACAGTGGACCCCTCCTAGCATCATGCAAGTCCTTGAGCGATGGCATCATGTTAGCCAATGTTATTTTTTTCTTGTGATAAAATACACAGAACACAAAATTTACCATTTTAACTACTTTAAAGTGAACAACTCAGTGGCATTTAGTACATTCACAATGTTGTATAACCATCACCTCCATCTGGTTCCAAATCTTTTCCATTATCCCAAGCAGAAACTCCGCAGCCCTCAGCCCCTTGTAACCACTCCGCTTTCTGTCTCTACGGATTTGCCTGTTCTGGATGTTGCATATAAATGGGATCATTCACCATGCAGACTTTTGTGTCTGGCTTCTTTCACTTAGCGGAATGTTTTCAACGTTGATCTACATTGTAGCATGTGCCAATACTTCCTTTTTATGGCTGAATAACATTCAATTGTATGGATATGCCAAATTTTGTTTATCCGTTCATCCACTGATGGATGCTTAGGTTGTTTCTGCCTTTTGGCTCTGTGAGTTGTGCTGCTACGAAGATTCTTGTACAAGATTTTGTATGGATGTATGGGTTTTTTTGTTTTTTTTTTTTTTTGAGTAAGATTAGCCCTGAGCTAACATCTGCTGCCAATCCTCCTCGTTTTTGCTGAGGAAGACTGGCCCTGAGCTGACATCTGTGCCCATCTTCCTCTACTTTATATTCCTCTACGTTCCCAGCAGCAGCGTAGGAGGGTTCTAATTTCTTCACATCCTCACCAACTCTTGTTATTTTGCTTTTTGAATATTATTATTATGGCTATCCTACTGGGTGTGAAGTAGTACTTCATTGTGGTTTTCATTTCTCTAATGAATGATGAAGTTGAGCATCTTTTCATGTGCTATTTGTGTATTGTCATTTTTAGAGAAAAGTCTATTCCAGTC